CCACGGCGTCTTCCTGCTCCTGAACTCGGGCGTCGATAGGCCGCTCATTGGCCAGGTTGACTGCAGAGTAGAGGAGAGTTTGGAATTCCCCCCACGTGAAGCTGCCGGTGGTCCCACCGAGATTGGTAAGCGCTCTCTTGAGGATCCGAACGGCTGCCTCGGCCGCTCCGTTTCGGTGGGGCGAGTCTGCAGGATGGAAGACCCACTTCCACTCTGTGCCGTTCCTGGCAGCCACATCCTCAACGGACGCCCTCTCCAGACATGCCAGGTGCTTGTGCAGTTCCTTCTGTCTCACTTTCGAGACCTTCGCCTCCCACTTTGCTTGACCCGAGGACTGATTCTATTTGCTCATCCACGTCTCTGCGGCCCGTGAAACCCAAGCTGTGACTCCACATAGTTTCGACAGGGTACTGAACCGTTCAGGTTCCACAAGGCTGACAAGCGCTGCACCCAGAGGCGCGGGAAGGTATTTTGAGTGGGGGTGCTGAGGTGCTGGACTCCAGTGAACACTATTACGGGCACTATAGAGCATGCACAAAAGCAATCCCCACACGCAAACACACAGTACACCCGCGACTGTTACAATGAAAGCTCGATAATCAGCTCACGGCATATAGGCAGGGGTAAAGTGCTATTTTTTACGAGTGGGGAGCGGACCTCACCTCCTCTAGGGAGGTCCCGGGGGATGCTCCCCCAGGAAGATTTTTTTTAAATATTGAAGTTAAAAGCATCAATCTGGTGCACTTTGAGAGCAACATTAAAAGATCTATGGATACATCTCTCAACACCCAGATGAAACACAACTGTAAGCAGATGTTCTTTTTCTTTATGGATATTTTACAAATCACTCCCCTTTCAAACTGTATTCTTGTTTTACTGCCATATAGTATTTCATAACTGTTTTTCCTTTATTCTCTTATTTGTTTTACAACTATAATGATCATATGAAGGTGTGCCGCAGAAATAATCTTTTGAATAATTTGTGACCAAACCGTTTGAGACCAACTGAGATAACTTAGACTAAAGTTAACTACCTAAACACTCAGAGAGTCCTTTAGCTCACCTGAGCCTCTCAGTCTGAGAGGAGAGCTCTGCTCCAGCTTGTTGTGGAACCAACAGCAACAGCTCCGTATGTCCGTTAGTGCAGCTAGCTAACCAGATGCTAACAACATGGTCCCTGCTGCTGGCACCAGTTCCTCTCTCTCTCCCTCTCTCTCCCTCTCTCTCCCTCACACTAAATGCACTATGTCTGCACTATGTCTCCACACACACACACACACACACACACACACACACACACACACACACACACACACACACACACACACACACACACACACACACACACACACACACACACACACCACACACACCACACACACACACACACACACACACACACACACACACACACACACACACACACACACACACACACACACACACACACACACACACACACACACACACACACACACACACACACACACACACACACACACACACACACACACACACACACACACACACACACAAAGCTGAGTTTGAATGACACAAGCACACTTTTATTTCCATGCAACTCTCTGATTGGTCTGGTGTCTTGCATTCACTGAACACGGGAAATGACAGTCCTGCCGTCCTCTCGAGTGTCATGATGAGGTTCACGTAAAACACGGTTAATGTATTATATTATTGAGGTAGAATTGTCCGGTGCTACAGAAAAAACATTCGGGGTAGGCCAAAATATTATTTTACCAACAATGTGGAATTTATTGGCTACATATTACACAGATTATGCACAGTGGGAGCAGCAATAACCGTCAAATAATAATTCAGACAGGGGAGCTCCGCACCCTCTGCCTGCCGCTAGGGGGTGCAGCGCCCTCAGCACCCCCCTTCCCGCGCCCATGGCTGCACCCAAGGGCATCCTCTTCGGTTTCTCCACCATTTGAACCGGCCCTTGAATTTCCACCGGTGACCGTGGCTCTATATAACTACCGTCGTAGAGCCCAGCTACTTGACTCAGCAACATTCTCCTGGTCAGGACTGCTGGTGTCTTTTCCCTGACCTCGTCCTCTCGGAGATCCAGTCCCGTCCTCATCTTCGCTTGGAAAAGTTGATTGATATCATCATATATAACTTGTCCTCCTCCACGTCGTACCCAATGCCAAGCGCTTTATTGTCTTCCTCCCAAATCTGGTTCGGCAGTATCAGAATTTTCGACACAGGTCTTCCGTCGCCACTGGTCCCAGTTACGGCTCTAGGCCTCCCACTCTGACCAGACCGGATCCAAGGCTTGAGGGAGAAGCCTCCAGCGTTGAGAATCTCCTCCACTCGGTAGGTGATGTCATTCATTCTCTCTGGGTCATTGTGAGATGTTAAGATGTCATCCACGTAACTGTCCTCCTCTAGGACTCGGCGCTCCTCTTCCATGGCTGTAAACTGGGGCAGTCTCGATGTCTCTCTCATGGCAAGCTGTGATGGCGTAACTACTCAGCTTAGTGTAGAATTGCTGTTTTATTCAATGTGCTTTCTCCATTCATAGTAGCACATGGTATCACAAAGTTAGCTTCCTCCATACAAAGTTAGGTTATCAACCTAAAAGAAAATACATGATACACAAATTACTTAAAGCATACACAACAAAAGTCTGTCACCATAAACACATATTTAAACCAAAACACTCACCAGCGGCCCATGTTTCCTGTGGCTGATCAAAACATGAGTGACAAACATTTCGCTGGCCTTTTCAAGATGACTGGCAGCCCCTCAAATGAGTCCCAAGTGTGACGACCCCTCCACACTACGTGGGGTGCCGTCTATTTGTGTGTGCTTTGTGGGTGTTCACAGGTTCCGGTGGTGATGAGCCGCACCTGTCGGGGAGGAGACCTGCCTGATGAGCTACACCTGGGGAAAAGCTTATAGGAGGAGCCCAGCCGGATACGTCTCTCTCACTCCTCTGGGCACTTTCTCTGCGCCAGTTTCGGGGACCTGATGCTGGTGTCTATTTAGTTTGTTGTGTTTTAACAATTAACTATATTATTCTTACCTCTCGTCTCGCCTCCCTGCTTTATGTTACAGCCCACGAGCCGGGTTGTAACATATGGGGGCTCGTCGCTTTGGACCTGGGAACGTTTGATGATAGATGTCCTTTGTGGGGACGTATTTTGCACAGCTGTTGTCGCTGAGTGCGGCTGATTTGTTGGGAGTAGCGTTACGGGGGTGAGTGTTTTGCAGTTATGATGCACAGAGATTGTATGGCAGCGAGTACGAGCACAGTATTGTTAGTTACCGTGGTATCTGTCCCTGTTAGCTCTAGTACAGTCTTCCTTGGAGGTTGTAGGGGGGGCTATTAGTGTGGTGTGAAAGTGGTTAGAGCTATTAGCTCGGGAGCACGCCGAGGCTGCGGGTGGAGTTGCCGGTTTGCTGGTCGCTTTGCCGAGCTTACGGTATTAAGTGCATAAGTACCCGCCATAACTAGCACCTGAAGACTAGCGGGGAGTTTAGCTAGTTTCTGTGAGGCAGTTAGAGGGACGGGCCGCGGTAGCGTATATGCTGTGTAAGTAGCGTGAGCGTGCCACACAGTGTTGTCACGATGGAGAGTGTAGAGGAGTTTGTGAGAGCGCCTACAGAGGATCTACTGGAGGGCTTCTCACGTGAGCAGCTGATTGGTGTTGCTGAACATTTCCACTTGGATGTTGGGGATAAAAGGATGAAGGAAAACATAAGAGGGATTGTAAGAGCAAATTTGTTTGAGTTAGGTGTTTTCAAAGGGGGTAAAACATACTGTTGATCCTAGCAGAGACAGTGGCAGTACGTCTGGCTGCAGTGATACAGGCCTGACTTTTGAACAGAGAAAGGAGTTGCTGTTGTTGCAAACAGAAATGGAGAAGCTGGCAGTGGAACAAATAAGGGGGGAAGTAGAAATTAAAAGGCTTGAGTTAGAGGAGCGGAGGTTGGGTTTTCCTGCTGGTGGTGCAGGTCAGGCCTCTAATTTCCCTGGTAGAGCTACTCCATTTGACGTTGGCAGTAATTTGCGGGTAGTGCCTCAGTTTAGTGAACGAGACCCAGATAGTTTTTTTTCCCTGTTCGAACGTGTAGCTGAGACCAGAGAGTGGTCTGACGCTGAGGGGACCTTATTGTTACAGTGTGTGTTAACGGGTAAAGCCCAGGAAGCCTACTCTGCTCTGACGGTGGCAGAGAGAAAGGTTTATCTGACTGTTAAGACTGCTGTGTTGAAGGCATACGAGTTAGTCCCTGAGGCATATCGACAGAGGTTCAGGTCCTGGGAGAAGTCTAGCGGACAGACCCATGTTGAGTTTGCCAGGGATCTGGTTACTTTTTTCAGTAGGTGGTGTAAATCCCTGAATGTCGAAACGTATACTGCAGTATGTGAGTTGATGGTGTTGGAGCAATTTAAAAATTCTGTACCCAGCCACATTGCAGTTTACATCAGCTAGCGCAAAGTGAAGACTGCTGCAGAGGCTGCTGCTCTGGCAGATGACTATGTGCTAACGCACAGGGGCGGTCGAGTTTTCAGGGGCCAGGATGAAGCTGGTATGTGTCGTGCAGCAGGGAGATGGGAAGAGAAAGCTAATCCGCACTGGGGTAAACCTGAGCGTGAGATACGAGGTCAGCCACAGGGTGATTTGGAAATCTGTCATTTCTGCAGGGAGAGAGGGCACTGGAAGGTTGACTGTCCAAAAGCTAAGGCTAACAGGGGGAACTGTGTAGGCCAGTTTAACTCTGCTGCTTGTGCTGTGTCTGTGGTACCCTTACATGTCATCTCTCCCTGTCAGCAGATTAATGAGCCGTGCGGGTGGAAGGACCCACTGTTTTCTGCATTTGTGTCAACCGGATACGTTTCATTGGTGGGAAGTGATATCAGCGTGCCGGTAAAGATGTTGAGAGACACTGCATTGTATGACTCATACATTCTGAGCTCTGTGTTACCATTTTCGGACAAATCTAGAACTGGGGATTTTTTCCGGATGCGAGGTATGGGAATGAATGTTGTGCCTGTTCCTCTGCATTCTGTTGTGTTTAACTCTGGTCTGGTGCAGGGTGAGGTCGCCATGGGGGTCCGTCCTGTAATGTTTGTAACCCGATACCGTTGCAATGAATCGACATCTGACCAATCACGACTTTGATACGGCCACTAGTGCAGGTGAAGAGATGTTGGTGAAAAGACAGTTTCAGTCCGGCACAAGCAAGAGGGGAAAAAAACAAAACATGAAGAAACTAGAGCATCACTCGAAGGTGGGTTATTGTATGAGTAAAAAATGTACAACTTGCGAATGTTGTATAAGTCAAATTGCCAATTGCCATATTAAAACATCAGCTGCAATTCAGGACATGAAGAAGGCAGTCTCTGCAGAGCATACAGGCTAATGGAGATGCAGTTATTTCCAGCATTCTTTATTTAACATTCATTCAAGTATGTTATGCCTTGTATCTGCTAATGTACAGGAGGAAGAGTGATACACTGTCTGTCTAGTTGGCTTACGTAACAGTTAAAGTTTACAGCTTAAAAAACATGGAGCCTTTTTTCCCCTTTTATTCATTTTTATGTCAATTTGCACATTTCATGGTGATGCTCAGCCTCTCCCCTTAACTCCTAACAGTCATCATCATGGTGATGCTCAGCCTCTCCCCTTAACTCCTAACAGCCATCATCATGGTGACGCTCAGCCTCTCCCCTTAACTCCTAACAGTCATCATCATGTCAACCACAACACAGTGAAATACTGATAGAAATGTGTGTGTAGTTGTTGATACATTGCTGACAGAGGGAACTACATTTGAATACAGATTTAAGAAATATCCGTTTTTGAGCATGTCATAAGCATGTTTTGTCTTGGCTATATTACAACTATATTATAATAAAATAATATAGTATTTATATTATTGAATTGATTAGGATTATTATTATTTGTATTATTAGTAGAAGTAGTTTATTTGCATTCATTATATTTTAATCTTTTTGAGGCTAGTATTTGGCAGGAAATGCAGACGTATTCACCTGTAAACACATACTGAACGACATACATGCACATTTACCTCACTGTATACAAAAGTAACTATGTTGATAATAATAATAAACAGGAATTATATTTGCAAAGTAGCCTACTTTGTTTCCAAATATATTTTTTTCACTCCTGTCGGTTGGGTGGGGGGGGGCTCATCTCACAATGTCGCATGGGGCCCCAAGTTGGCCAGGGGCGGCCCTGTCACTGCGCTGCCTGCACTATATGACAAATGCCGTGGGGAAGTTGAGAGAGATGTGGCTTCAGCTGACTACTTTGCGACCAAAACAGACCTATGGTCTAGCCCAGGGGCGCCCAACCAGTCGATCGCGAGATGTGTCTAAAAATAAAACAACAATATTCTGTTTTATCGTTAATGTCCTGTAACATAATCTTCCTGTGCCAGAATAATGCACTTGAACGCATCAAAGCTTTGTGATTGGCCGGCGTCACCCCATATGTCGGGGCGTGGCTGAGGGTCTTCAATCAGTACAGATGGCAATATTGTCACCTGCCTGCGCTCAACTCTGAAACCAGACCATGTTAACAGGCTGGTGTTTCTAGCGAACAATCTTTAAGAGATGACATGAGCAGCCCTACCAGCATTTGCCATGGTGGCCTAAACATTTTTATTTGGTCTTAAATTGTAGTTCAACATTTATTTCCTGTTACTTCTGGACCATGACGGTTGGCCAGCCTTCAACGTTTAACTGAGTGGAATATGTTGAATATGTTTTACCAAAATGTTGGCTATATGTTAAGGAGTTTTCAGTAGGTTGTGACAGTGCACTGCATCATATTTGATTTAATTTATTTTGGTCTAATTTATTTGTATTTATTATATTAATAATATATGTTTAGTATGGTTTTGGAAGTGCGCTCCAACATATTTGTTGATCTTGTTTATTGGTAAAATATTATTTGTTTTAAAGTTCAATAAATGGTCAATGAATAATCGTCCAAATAATCGTGATATCAATTATTGACCCAAATAATCGTGATTATGATTTTTGCCATAATCGCACAGCCCTAGGAGGAGCCCAGCCGGATACGTCTCTCTCACTCCTCTGGGCACTTTCTCTGCGCTAGTTTCGGGGACCTGATGCTGGTGTCTATTTAGTTTGTTGTGTTTTAACAATAAACTATATTATTCTTACCTCTCGTCTCTCGTCTCCCTGCTTTATGTTACAGCCCACGAGCCGGGTTGAAACAAAATACTGGAAACAAGGTTCCCTCCCAACTGAGACCTATTTTACATGATAACCTGCACAACTAAACAAGTAGCTTAATGCTTATTGATTGAAATAAATAAATAGAAAATAAACGAATAAACAACCCAAATTAACTCCACACCAACGTTCAAACCTTTTTAAAAAGCGAAAATATTTGAACATCTAGTTACAGAGTGAAGAGACAGAGTTGTTTAGGACCTGGATCTAAAAACATGTTTTGTGATTATTTCTATATTTTTAAATCACTCACTTTACCTAATTAAATCAGTTTATATTGTAGATCACACAATACTATACATATTTCAGTCACCTGAGCTTGAAGTCTCAGAAGTAAAGAAAAACATGCTTGTGTTTAATTATAAATGAAAGTATAAAGGGCTCATGGAAAGTACAGAGACTGTGGTCAAGAAATGTTCTTGTAGTTGTTCACAAGAAAGGAAGTCATTGAGTCATTGTCATATTTAAGAAGAAGTCTGACTTTAAATAATTTGTAACTGTAGGTGGAAATGCATCCCTCAACAAGTACTTTCTCATAAGCAGAGCGAGAGAATCATTGGAAGAAGAAAAACATGCTTGGACAGCTGGCCTCGAGCGAAGATAATGCTACCTGAATTTATTTTTAGATCGTGTCAGTTTTATCTACAACAACCACATATTTCATTTTGTTCATTTTTTGCGATTCAATTTGGTAGAGACTTCAGCTCTTTGGAAATTGTAAGTACAACTCTAGATTAAAATTCTTAAAAGGGCCAGAAATTATATTATATTTCACATTCAGGGCCTTTTCTTTATCACAATACAAAAAAGACTTGCATCAAGGCCATGAAGTAAAAAAAAAAAGATAGTGTGTCTTAATCTTTATATATACAGTCTATGGTCTTAACTAAGTGCATGGATGGAGTCTCAATTGGTTGCTTAAAAATCAACATTTAGGCTGGCTCTATACAAGTATTGATTTATAAAAGGTGCATTTAACATATTTAATTGTGGATATTGCATTGTAATGACAATAAGTACGACATTTAGTACAAATCTGAAAAGTGTTTTAAGTGTTGCACTTTTCCTCTAGAGATGAAATGGGACATATTTTCCATGTTAATACAAAACTCCAGCTGTAACCAGACAGGGCTTCAGTTTGATTATTTGTTAGGTTTGTTTAAGTAACCTATTAAGTCTTCTAGTTTCATTTGTTTAGCTTGCATCATCTTTCCATATTTTATATGCAAATCAAATTCAAACAGCCTTTTGTATTCTCAGCCAGTATGTATTAAAGGCAGCAGTACCCTCACATCTCAGTGTTGACATGTCCACTCTGCAGATAGTGACTGCACCTGCTCATGGTCCTACTCTCTATTCACCTACCCACAACTACTAGAACAACTACAGCATGGTAAGTCTTATATACATATAACACAATGTGTTTAGTTCTAAACCAAATGTTAGTTTCTATTGAAATTCATTACTAGACATTGTTCTTAAAGTTTACATTTCCAATATAGGACTTTGTTTCTATCGTTACTCACCCATTGTTTTCTCTTCCCTCCTCTGACTCCCCTTCCTATCCCCTCTCTTGTCCTTTACTCTGTTTTCTTTTCTGTTCTCTTACCGTCTTTTCTCTAGGTGCTTGATTGTACCAAGATCAAGGATGTCCTGGAGAGGTACTACCTGTCACCGTTTTATGCCGTCGAGTTCTGCGTTGGTTTCCCTGGCAACCTTTTGGTTGTACTTGGCTATATATTTTGTTTGCAGGAGTGGCAGAGCTGCAATATTTACCTCTTCAACCTGGCAGTCTCTGACCTTATTTCCTCTGCACACTTCCACGCCTCTCGTACCTCTATGCAAATGACCTACCAGAGAAGAGTCCCTATGGTTGCGTTATCAACCGCTATGTCCTGCATGTCAATCTTTACTCATCCATACTGTTTATGGTTTGGGTTAGCATGGACCGTTTCCTGCTCATAAGACATCCAACACGTAACCACTGCCTGTTGAGGCCGAAAATAGCCATGATCGTGTCAGGGCTGAGCTGGCTAGCTGTTCATTTGGAAGTTTGCTCCGATGATATCACTGATGGTCCATGACCTTCAGAGAGGAAACTGGAGTAGCTGCAGGAATTTTGCCAGCTTGAAAGGAGAGGTCCATACATTGGGCTACAGCCTAGGGCTTACCCTCACTGGTTTACGCTCTCCCTTTGCTTGGACTGTGTGGTTTCTCGTATCAAATTGCACATTTGCTCCATATCCAGGAAAGGGCCATACAGCGCCGGACAACCACGTACAAGCGTCCCTCTCAGGGTTGCTGTATCGGCCGCTATCATGTTTGCTTCTCTCTACACACCCTACCATGTGTGAGAAATATCCGAATAGCATCTCAGCACGACTGGACAGGGTTGCAGCTTTGCACAAGGATGAGCATAGAGAGCCTGTACATCATCACAAGACCATTTGCCTTCTTGCACAGTGTCATCAACCCTGTCTTTTACTTCCTCATGGGGGACAAATTCAAAAAGCTCCTATTGGCTAAGCTCAGGAAGCTGATCAGAAAGACAGAGCAGCAAAGAGAACCAGCCTGAAAAAATTCAACATAGTGTCCCTAAATAAAAGAAACATCATATAGCAAATCCAAACATGTGAATCAGCTCCTTCTTTACGTTGTTACGACCCTGGTCGTTATGTGTATTGTGTGCAGATTTTCTTCCTTTCTGTGTTTGTGTGGCTGCGTGTGATTGAACAGGTGGTGTCCGGTTGCTGATTGGCTGCCCTCGACAGGCTGATTGGTCCACCTGAGGAGACCGGAGCATTTAAGCTGCAGCCATGCAGTTTCTCGGTCTCTCTGACTCAACTTCTCCTACTCCCAATGCGGCGCATGTTTAGATATTTTGTCCTGTGGTGCTATGTTGCAGTCACATTAAAACAGTTACTAAATCAGCCTATTATCACCTAAAGAATATATCTAGGATTAAAAGACTAATGTCACAGCAGGATTTGGAAAAACTTGTCCATGCTTTATCTTCAGTAGACTGGACTACTGCAATGGTGTCTTTGCAGGTCTCACTAAAAAATCTATTAGAAAGCTGCAGCTGATTCAGAACGCCGCTGCTCGAGTCCTCACTAACACTAAGAAAGTGGATCACATCACTCCTGTTCTGAAGTCTTTACACTGGCTTCCTGTGTGTCAAAGAATAGATTTCAAAATACTGCTGCTGGTTTATAAAGCACTGAATGGTTTAGGCCCAAAATACATTTCTGACCTCCTGCTAAATTATGAACCATCCAGATCTCTCAGGTCTTCAGGGACTGGTCAGCTTTCTGTCCCCAGAGTCAGAACTAAACATGGAGAAGCAGCGTTCAGTTATTATGCTCCAAATATCTGGAACAAACTCCCAGAAACCTGCAGGTCCGCTGCAACTCTGAATACTTTTAAATCCAGACTAAAGACTTTTCTTTTCCCGCTGCTTTTAATTGAACTATTCATATCTTAGACTGCACTGTAACTTTTATCCATGTATTTTTTCTTTTAATGTTTATTTTATTATCTTTTCTTTTAATGACTGATTTTAAATGCCATTTTCTTAATGTCTTTCGTTTTTTGTAAAGCACTTTGAATTGCCTTGTGTTGAAAGGTGCTATATAAATAAACTTGCCTTGCCTTGCCTTGCCTTGCCTATGTTCGCACTTTGAGAACATTTTGTCCTTCTCCGCAGGCTGTGAGCTATTTTTACGTTACCTGTCTTTGTAGACAGATTTATTTTCTCAGGAGTGCAAACCCTTTTCTTTTTCCCTTTTGGATTGTTCGTTTTCTCCTCTTTAAGTTAGAGTAGATAAGAAGCCTGTATTTTTATTTTTCTCTGTTAGGTAAGATTTTGTTTGTTTAAGGTTAGTTCGTTTTGTGGTTTTGTTACTCCTGTTTTGTTTTTTTGTATCATACTTTCTGCATGTTTCTTTTTGGTTGTGAAAGTATATTTTTGTGTAATTCAGATTTGGTAATTAAATTTACCAAACGACATTCTCTGTCTCTGCCTTTGTCTTGAGAGTGGGAAAAGTGGGGAGAGAGCAAACTTTGTGCTGCGCCTAGGTTCCCCTAGGCCGGGGCGTAACAACGTTGTATTTTGTTATACTGATAAAAATGTGGATACTTTATTATGGTGTATATATATTACATTTTATTTTAATGTTGACCAAATAAAGTAATGTAAGACAACCACTGT